CAAATGGATTCAGGGGTGGTGTAGCGATGTTCGCGATTCAACTATGAATCCCACTTACGGTCGAGATCGACGCTAAAATCCGGTTTGAGTGATAACAGCCTCTGGGAGGGAAAGCTAAGTTAAATTTATTGGCATTTTAAGGTATATTCATAGTTTTGTCACTTTTTACCACCTATTTATATTGAATATTAAATCTAGCATATTCTTATACTCGCTTGTTCTGTCTTTCGCTGACTTTTAATTTTAATGACGCAAGGCAATCCTACTTCATATTCTCGGCGCCTCGAAGATGGGACAATTCCATCTTCATTCGACTACAACCTTTTTCTGCCTCAGTCTCTGTTGGAGAAGAGTCTACCAACACAGCAACTGCAACTGCCACCGCCATCGTCACTTGTCTCTTCAAACGTTCCTTATCCTTCGGGTTTCTGGGCCGGACTTCTGCCTTCTCCCTTAGCAATGGCACACTCGGGCCTGGCAACAACAGTCTCGGCCGCGGCGTTCACGTCGAGTGGAGGACAGGCTGACGGCCAGGCGTCCGGTATACGATCCGGTCTGCAGATGAGCACTTCGCAGCAGGTACAGGCTCAACTGACGCCTCTGCCGCCAGCTACTCAACGTCAGATTTGGGCTCCATCGAATGGTCCATTCGTAGCATCTACTCCGCCATGGACGACACCGCATCTGGGTCTCGAGTCCGGTCTGTTTGGCTTGTCGTTTGCCGGCCCATCTCTGTTGCCACCGGCCGAGGTCTGCGTGAGACGGCCAGGACTTGGTGTCTCGTTGCCAGGCGACTTTTGTGCTCTGGCCAGCATGACGACCAGCCTCTACGGAACAGAGGAAGAGGAAGCTGAGGGTTTAGACGGTATAAGGTTAGGGCAGACGGGGAGCCAACGCCGTGGCCGGATTGGTCTGGCGCCCGGGCACTGTTGCTATGGTGACTCTTCGTCTGAAGAGATTGACGACACAGAGGACGGCCTGTCAACAGCCAGCCGATGCCCGAGTAACCAGGTCTATGGCTTGCACGATGAGCCGATTTTAGAGACGAACCCTGTCGACATGCCAATCGCCAACAAGTCGCCAGGGCAGCCGGCCACGAAGGCATCCATCTCGCCGAATTCGGCGACTTCTCCTACCCCTTTTTCAGTCCTGCCGTTTCGAGGCGTCGGCAACTCTGATGCTGAATGTGCGCTTGAGGCGATGAAGCGAATACGGCCAAATCAACCGGCTTCTGAGTAGGCGCTCAATCCTCCAGGTCCGGTGGTCGAGCTCCTTTGCCAGACTCCTTTCAAGTAATTGATGCCTCATCTCTTCTTCTTTTTCATCTCCTCCTCATCATCATCATAATCTTCATCCTCATCCTCCTTCATTCTAATGACTTTATAATTTCTTCATTCCTATAAGGATGTTAATAAGGAATTGAGATTTGCTGATTCCCGCATTTATGACTGATAAATTCATCCAGTTTCACATTGTACATGAAGGTCTGAAGATCCTGCTTTGGTGACAGGTCTTAGAAGTGGTAGGCAGCCAACCATATTTCGTTAAGGTGCCAAAGGACTGGTATTTGAATTTTCCTACAATTTATGAATAGGCCTCACGTTTTCACAAAATTTCACATAGCCTTGTTTCCTAAAAGGTATTTTCACTTAGGCTGGCCTAGATTGCAGTTTCGGCGCGCCAAATGGCAAATATAGCTTTAGTATATAAGTAGAGTTTCGAGACTACCAGTACATCGCATATGAAGATAGCTTTGTTTGTTGAAAATTCCACCACAGAAATGTGATATGCGAGGGGCTTACTTGAAATTCGCTTTTTCCCTGTGACCAAAATGCATTCGTGTTAGTGTGGCGTAGTGGTGAACGTGTCGAGATTTAGCCTGCCTTACCACAACCTGGCTTCGAATCCCGCTGCGGGTACTGATGAGACTAGCTGAGGCGATGTCGAAACTGCAGTCCAGTTCAGCCTGGCTGAGAATACCTTTTGGAAAGCAAGGCTATGTGAAATTTATTGTAAACATGAGGCCTACTCATTTCATTGTGAGAAAGTTCAACTACCATTCCTCCCTCACATTAAACGAACTAAGGTGAATAACTACTTATAGTCTCGGAAACCTACTTATAAATTGAAAATAAGTCGGATTTTTATCGAATTTTTAGCGCTGACTCGTTTGATGGTGTTTACCTAACAATACGTTTTTACTTGCCTTTCAAGTTGAGTATTGTTTAACATCTTCACTTTGTCCAACCGCATATGGTTTAAGTGAATTAATGATTTCCATTTCCCAGTTTTCTTTAAATATCATTCTATATCATATATTAACTTTAATCCAGTTAAGGCATTTGGTTCCTGCGATACAAACTATGGTTTAACAATAGCTGTCTCAGCCCGGTGATACACTTGTTGAGCATTAACTCACACCAACTTATGCATGGGTCCGTTCAGAATGCCTGGATAGTCTCATTTGGCGTTGCCATGACGGTGATTATGATGGAAATTTATCTGACACATGTCAGGTACGCTAATGCCTAGGATCCGGGCTCACTCGGGCTCAAACAAAAGATCAAAACGGAGGTCGCATTCTGCATGACCATACCAGACAATTATGGAGTAGACATTGCAAAATATCTCTCATATTTCATGATACGGAGATATAACTAGGTTTTTATTGGCTCGGTAATTAGTGATTTCTTAATATAGTGAGTTCTGCCATGAAATAAAAGCTATAATTTAAAAGGTATTCTTCGTATTCACAGTGGAGTGTGATCTAAAGCCATCCGTCTAAGAAACGAAAGGCCCAATGACATGAAATTATTAAAGACCTCTTTGAAATCAGACCTTTCATTATGCTTACCTCAGAGGATACTCCTTCATTTACAGACACCTATTTTACACTCAATCATAGAACATGAATGTCTAACTTATATGAACTTAGTGTGTAATCCTTCAAAACCAAGATTGTTTTCATGTAAACATGAGACTTGTGATTTTATAGTGTATTCAAGAAGAGGCTTCAATTTCGTAACCTAGCATTAACACTAAATAAATGTTAATACGTGGCTTTTTGAGGTTATCATTAGATCATATATGAGATGCATTCACCTTATTTCGCCTAAGGTAATGAAAGACTGATAGTTTAACTTTTCCCATCAATCCACTATATTACTTATTTTTCGTTTAGATAAATAGGCTTTCGAAACTACCAGTAGATCGTATCTATAACATGCATTCACTCCCACGAAGGACTTGCTGTTGAATTTTCCCACAATGATACGAGTATGCCTTGCGTTTGCATCGAATTTCACATAACTTTGGTTCCCGAAAGATATTCTTATTAAGTGCGAATTGTAGTTTAGATTTCGCCTTCTTATCAACACCCCCAGCAGGATTCGAACCCAGAATTTGGTAGTACAGCGTATAATCTTAACACGTTACCCATTAAGCTGCCCTGCTACAAGGGCTGCTGAGACCTAGGCAAGATCGAAATTGCGGTGAATTCCAGTATGCATGAAAATACCTTTTGAAAAACAAGGCTATGTGAAATTAAATGAAATTTATATGTCCCGATGTTTGACATTTGCCAAACACAGACTTTTTAGTATCATAGACTTCATAATTCCTACTTTAACCCCATAAGTGCGATTCTGGTGAAAGGTGGTTTGCCTTTTATTGATGTTCTAGTTAGCAAAGAGGGGACTAGATTAGGTAAATATGTGTATAGGAAACCCACAAATGCAAGTTTTCTTTTCTGGATGAGAATAATTATCCACGAGGCTCGATTGACAATTATTTTAGAATATCACCAAATAGGATGAAGGAAAATACATATTTAGGGCTATATAAAAAGTTAGACCACTCTAACAGAGTCCTTATGTTGCCATCGTTTAATCGGTAGAAGAAGATAGTCGAATTACTGAAGAGGTGGTAAATCAGAACAATTTATGAATAGAAAATAACACTTTCTTTGGTATTGCCTTCTTTTTGAGAATACTCTAACCCTCTCCCTAGATCGACCTCTTACAAGATTTTGTATTCATGCGGTAGCGTCTGTAGGAGAGATCTGTAGGCGTATACATAAGAGGCTATTTGAACGCGAAACAGGTCTTTGGGTTACAAAATCGGAATTGGGAAAATAGGTGAATCGCAGAAGGCACCATATAGATTGGTCTATTGTCAAACCCTTAGCAGGATATGGGGATTGTACCAAGCAGTATGTGGAAGATTAGAGAGGCGATAGAAATCATCAAAACAGCCAAGATCCTGGATAGAAGGAATGAGTTTGGGAAGCTATGCGGAAACTACTTGTTGCTGTTGGATAGGATTAGAGAGATATGGGGGAATGATTAGTAACACGGATCAAGAGGAGGAGGCTTGATTAGGCTAGAATCTGGTTTTGACTCATACATTACACTCATTTCAAGAGCATTGCATTCACACACATGTACAATGGAACGCAACCACATGCGGTAGCATTGCAGGCTCAAAGGCATACTTCGCCATTTGAGCAAAGTATAGGATATCCAACCAAAATATGATACGCCTAAATGGACCAAATTTGACTACATAAAGTATTTAGGTTTGAAGCTGGCCACCCTTCTTGCCTTCGTATTTTTGATGAATTATCGTAAAGCATGGTGACGATGTCCTTCGCAGAGTGATGCAGTGAAGTCCCATTTGCACAAATCTACAATCATAGTTCAAGGCAATCTCCCAACAGTTTCCGGTGAGACCAACTTACAAATCCCTTCAACCAGCTTCTTTAAACGAAATGAAACGTACTCAAACATCTATTTATCCCTAAATTTGTACCAACAGTCCAAATGCCAATCTCGAAATAACTCAAATATTATTTCATGTTTTTAAAACACGATAAATAACTTAAGGGAAAAGAAGGGTATTTTTCGTAAATAAGTAGAATTTTGAGACTATCAGTAAATTAATAGTATGAGATGTATTCACCCTATTTCATTTAAGGCTATGAAGAACTAGTAGTAGAATTTTCCCACATTGCTATGAGTAGAGCTGACGTTTCCATTGAATTTCACAGAGCCTTGCTTTCCCAAAAGTTGTTCTCATCCAAGGTGGATTGCAGTTTCGACTTCGCATAGGTCTTGTCAATATCCCCAGCGGGAGTCGAACCGTGACAGTGGAGCATGTGAACTTGACACGCTAACCACTCGGCCGCATCGCCACAAGTGCCCTTGGGTTACAGGGCAGATGTGAATGTCAAGAAA